AAAAATGTTTTCATTTAATTTTTTTAAATAAGACTTATTTAACTAATTTTTTTTATCAATTTTTACTGTTTAAAACTCCCCCAATAAAAGCATGGCAAAAAAAAAAAAAAAAACCTTCCCAATATGAGGGTGTATACAAGTACGCTGGGCATCCCCGTGTTCTATTTTGACTCCAACTTTTAATCCTGGAAAGAACCCGAAGATGCTTGCTTCTTTCCTCTTTTTTGTTCTTTTTGTTTCTCCATCTACTGCTTTCTTGCATTCCCACTTAGGACGTGGAGTTCTCCTTTTATTTGGAAATGGAGGTCCCATCAGCAAGGAAAGCAAAGACAACTATTGAAGAGCCCGTTGCCCACAATTTTTGACCTTGAAAAAGCAACAAAGAAAAGATATGCAGTATTTTTTACCTTGAACACCTCCATTTGCTCATCAAGACGTTTAATTTCAAAGTATAATCAGTAAGTCAATCAAGTGGTAAGTAAAGCAGCGCTAAATGCAGCTGTGTCTGTGAAGTAATCTTGGCTGCAAATTAAGACGAATAGGAGAGAAACACAGTGCAGATTGTTGGATGATTGCTTTCTTCCTCATTATAGCAGAAGCATTCCTACAAGAAAAGTAGTGTTAATATCAAAGCATCCACACTCACCTGAGTTATCTCTGATGGTAGTAGAAGTTAATGAACAAATGGATCCAGAAAATCCATATCCTGCAAAGCTGAATGAAATTTATTTTAAAGTCTAGCATTTTGAGACTAAATTGTGAAGATATCTTAGAAGAAAACTCTAGGATTTATATTGATATGAGAAGGATCGCTAGAACTCTTTGCATCATACTGCACCAAATATTTTGGATCCATGCCATTGTTGGAATTCCTTTAGCATTTTCACTACCTTGGAGACTTGGACTTGGAATCTTGACCAGTCACTTTTGACTGATACTGTAGTTGACTTTAAAGAAAACTAGAGTGAAAAAGGTGCAGGGTTTATCTTATTCAAATCCTAATAAGATACAAGACAAGAAGTACGAAGATGTTATGAAGCAGCAAGGAAGCAATCGCCAAAATTATGAGAAATTTAGATAAACGCAAAGAAGATGGGAGTTCGGGGAGGGTTAGTTAAGGGGACAATTGTTCTAAAGTATTGTTCAAATGTTGCTAACATTACGTGTCAGTTGAAGTAACTGGTACCTTGTGTGTTTCTGGTTTGCTACATTTTGGTTTCTGACTTTTTTCCTCTTTTCATCAGCAGTCTAGAAGATCACCCTTTTTTGGTTCATTCCTTTGTGTGTTGCATACATAGAAGTAAGGGAACGTGTGGGAGGCTAATTTGTTGTTAGGAGATGGGATCCACTGAATTCCCCTACACCAGAAACAATCTGGAAATAGTAACACGAAGATGGCACATCTTGTAAGCTGCAACAGGAAAAGGAATAAATGAATAAGTACATTGCTGAAATGAAGGGTAAAGACAGATATCCTGAGTGAATTAAAATCCTGAATAAGAACATAAACAGAGGAAGTGAGTAGCACAATAGAAATTAAAAGATGTAGTTTGGCTACTCAAAGGGTAAGTTCTGCTTTCCCAACTGAAAGATCTCAAAACAGAAGCTTCAAATAGATTACCGATTTGTGGAATTCACCAGAGGTAATCCGCTTTCCAGTTCCAGTCTAGATGGCCAAAAACCAAAACTATGTTCCAGGCAATAAGGAAGGTCACTAATCCATACTGATTACAACACTGAGCTGTCACTAACACTGAAGCTGCAGACCAGTATTGTCGATGCTGGCACTAACACTGAGCTTTTGTAAGAAAGCTAAAACATTATAATGTGTAAACCAACTACTTGAAATTATTTGCTTAGATGATTGATTTGTGGATTTCAGGAGGGTGATGGTTCACATGGCTTCAACTTGACACATGTACAACAAACTTGGCTGGAAGGCTTCAGATTATATTCAGTATTCAATTGAAATAAACGTAATAATGATTGTAATATTCTATTTCTTATGTATCAAGCTATAAACACAGCCGTGGGAGATCAAATATCATTCTCTTCTTAACTTGGAGGATCATTTATATGCAGCCTTCTCATACTTTGACAAAGACGAGAGTGGATACATCACTCAGAATGAGCTCCAACAGGCCTGCCAGCATTTTGGCTTGGAAGAGAATTCGCGAAGTTGATAACAACAACGTAAGTAACATAACATTCACAGGTTTAACTAAATTCTCATTTCCCATTTAGCATTATTTTGTTTAAATTACTGCTGGTTTGAAATACTTGTACTGGTTAAGCTGTGTGTTATGTGCAGGAAGGGAGCATTGACTACTGCATTGAGTTTGTAGCCATGATGCAAGACACTGATTTTGGGAGGAGGCACAAAGTATAACTTAAGTCTAGGATTCAAAGAAAGGACAATTTAAGAATGGACACCTGATTTTGTTATTCCGAGACTGCAAAGTCAAAAGATCAAATGAATGTTCTAACTAGATTTCCCACCTTATAACTTCACAGAAATTGGAATCCATAGTGCTGTAAAGATACATTGCCAGCCGCCGGAAAGAATCCATTTTTGTTCATTTTCTCTTAGGTGCATCAAATTAAGTTTTGAGGCCAGATTCTGGATTTGGAGAACAGGAATATTGTTCATAATATGTTCTTTAGTATTATTATTTTTTTTTTTTCATGACAAGTTTTGGAATTGGGGAGATTCTGAGTTTGAACATGAAACCTTCTAGGACTTCATCCTTGTAATTTTTTTGTTTTACTTAACAATACTGCTTTTATGCTGTATTCTTGCCCAAGAACTCTTGTAATTTAGACCTCAGCTTTGATTTCTCTGTTTTACCTTTTTGTTGAGAATTATAGAATTTTCTGGGTTGATGGTATACAGGCTGATAACTCGAACTTGAATAGGAATCAGAAAGATGAAAATGAGACTAATCTTTGTATACGATACACTGTTCCAAAAAGGCTCACCAAATAGCACATTCAACAAGTATTCTCTTCTCTCCTCTGTGCACAATTAAGCAAGACAAAAAAATATTAACACGTCCACACAATCAAGATACCAGATTTTTTAACATGGGAACTAGTTCAGCAAAAAAAATCCACCATAAAGTTGACATTATTACAAGGTTTCTTCTATTCTAGGAAACACTAGGGGTTGTACGCAACAATAAGTCATAATCATCGTTAAAATAAAACTTGAAGTCAAAATCTCCAATCAAATTGGGATAAGTCTCGCCAAGTGTGCTGTTGCAACTCATTCTCACCGTCTCTCAACTACATTTACAGTGTTGATCAAAACAAGCCACTAGCTGTTATTTAAAGTTCCACTGAGTTGACGCACTCAAAGTCCAAGCCCCCCGCAATTCATGTATGCATTCATGAAGAGTTTTCTCAACACCAAATCAATGGACACATACATCAGAAGAATCCTGAAGAAATAAGAAATGGTTAGTTAACATATTTGAGTATGGCACATAAATTAGTGCAATAATAAGTTCACCTACAACTACTAACTTAGGTTTAAACTTTTAGATTTTGCACATTTTAAAGGATTAAAATGTGAAAATGCACCTTGAAATGATTGTGCATAATGCAGCCTCGAAGCATTAGTCCATCCACCATCATCTATATCCTCGAATTGTCCTTGATCAAGGGAAATGACAAGAAAAACTAGAAGACCATGTCCTGCAAATGTGAATTAAAGCTTAGCATTTTCTTGATGAATGCTAGAGAATCTCTCTGAATAACTGAGGGATGAGAAGGTGAAGCCTGACTTACCAGAAAGGCCATTCTTTGGAGGGTAGAAGTTTGTAGCTGCAAGCCTGCTACTATGAGGATCTTGTGAACACCATCATTTTTCATCAAGCTAGATCTTGAAGCTACTTTGCAAGTCAGCCTATTGTTAAGTAAAGCTAAAGCAGCAGTGTTTGTGCTGCAATCTTGGCTGTGACTGACGATAAATAAAGAGAGAACACATGCAAATTGTTGGATCATTCATTTCTGACTCATCATACTGGAAGCATCACCTCCCACATGAAAGGCAGTGTTAACGTGAAAGCATTCAGCGCCTACTTGTTGAAGAAAGATCTTGCCTAAAAAGGGAGGCTTGAACTTGGAACCTTGGATCAATCAACTTTTAACTAATCCTGTAGTTGGCTAGAAAAAGGTTAAGGGTTTAATAAGATGCTATAAGATTCAAGACATGAACTAAGTTGGACGTTACACAGCTGTAGGAGAGCAGTCACCAAAATTATGGGAAATGTGAGATGAATAAGAATATGGGGATGGAGGAAAATAAGGGAACGCGTGGGAGACTAACTTCTTGATATCTACCTGATTTCCATGCATTGGAATCAAATTAAGATAAGAAAAAAAAATACAAATAACTGGTAAAACAAATACAAGACAACCAAAATCAATTAGAATCTAAATAAGCAAGCACATGACCCTTTTTTTTTTATTAGCAAATAAAATTATTAAGCGGGGTACAAGCAGTACGCCAATGCATGCACAATTTAGAGTATGCTCATTACTTCTGGCACATGAAAGGAAAAGGGGAGTCACAAAACAACGGGGTCCTACATAGGCCTAACAAGATTTTGCTATGTCCTCTGTACAAGCAGCTGGAAATATGAAAAAAAGTGTGGAAAATGTTAGAAGTGCTGTTTGCATTGTACCTCTCCTCAATTAATGTAGTTGGTGTGTTTAATAGTTAGTTGGGAGGTTGAGATGTCATACGTAGACTA